GCTTCCCTGCCTCGCGCACTCGCGGGGTCGCCGCCCGCCCGCGCTCGCTGGCTCACACTCTCCCTCACAACACGCCGGCCGAGGGAGGAAGGGGGCGGTCCGGGCGCCCGAGGCGTGGGGAGGGCTGTTTATTTGGGAGGAGGAGGAGCACGAGGCAGGAACGACCTGACTGGCCGGGATCCTCCGACCCGCCACTGTGGCAGCACCGGGAAGGCGGGGAGAGAGAAAGAGGGAGGGAGGGACCGGGATGTAGGACTCCCGCCCGCGCTGGAGGCTGTGGTGAGGGGGTGAGTGGCGGCCGAGCCCGCGAAGGGGGCGGAGCCAGCGCCCCTCGGCAATCTCCGCCGCCTCCGTGCCGCCGCCCGAGGGAGGCCGGGAAGAGATCGTGGGAGCTCGGGAATCTCCGGCACCGGCCTGGGATAGTCCTGGGCTGGGGCTGGGAGGCTGGAGGGCCAGCCTGCGGGTAGCGGGCGGGGTCTGTTTCCCCCAGGGCGGGGCTGCAGTCTAGGCAGGCGGAGCTAGAGGGGCCCTTTGGCCGGGATCCGCTCCAGCTTGCTGGACGAGTTGCTTGAAATTGCGACCTCAGTTCACTCGTCTGTCTGGCCCCTAGGGTTTCTGGGGAGGCACGGGTACTCTTCGAGAGAGGGAGCCTTTTCTCCCACACAAGATTAGCGATTTCGAGTTAGAAGTCCGGGAATAGAGCCGGGCGTGGTGGGCACGCCTGTAATTCCAGCACTCAGGAGGCTGAGGCAGGAGGATCATTGCGAGTTAGAGACCAGCCTGGGCTACAAAGTGAGCTTAAGGCCACCCTGAAATGCACAATGAGACCCTGTCTCAAAAAGACAAAAAAAAAGAAAAAATAAAAAATTTGGAAGTCAGGGAATGAAGCCACCCCTTACAACCATTTTGAAAGCTTTTATTTTAGTCATAATTCTCACATCCCTGATGATCTTAATAATACCTGATGTTAGTAAAAGCTTTCTGGTTTGCGCATTGCGTTTAGATCCGTGATAGAGGTAGAAACTGCGATCTCCATTCCATTGATGAGCTTGAAACTTGACTGAATTCTGCAGCAAAAAATGTGGCTGATCCAGATCTCGGGACACCAGATCTCACACTCTGTCTACACCTTGATCCCTTAGCAGCACTTTATTGCTTACCAGCTTCATGCAGTTAGATATGTACAATGGATTCTTAGCCTACCTGGCTAGAGCTGCCTCCAGAGCTAGAGCTGTTCCATATTGTGTCTTGTGCATTGTAGGGGAAAATAATGTTGCATGAACTGGATTCCAGTCCTGGCCTTGCTAACTGCTTTGAACAAGTTACCTTATCTCTTTGGACTCCAGCTCCAACCTGTATAGAATGAGATAGATGGTTTGGATCAATCGGAGTGGATTTTTGCCATTCCACCACCACCACCACCCTAATTTGTTTTGGTCAATATCTCAAGATATTTGTTTACTTTTTAATGCTATAAGTAGGGGCGTTGCATTTGGTGAGTAAAGACTAGGAATGTTGCCTAACAACAGAGTTATGGAGCCTACAGTGTCAACAGAGCCCAATTTGAGAGACCTGGGGTTAGGTGATTTCTGAGGTCATTTGCAACCAGGCTGTGACTTGGTCTTTGAACTTGGGTTTAGCCTGTTAGAGCTGGAACAGTACAATAGTAAATATCCCTACTTCTGAGTCAGGCATCCCAGATGGGAAGCCAGGTTTTACCACCTATTGCCCAAGTAATGTTGCATCAGTAGTGGCTAAGAGTTCCTTTACAGAGGTGTTTGAGGGCCTATAGGTTGCTGGAAGGGAGAACTGGAAAACTTGCCTTGCAGCTGGGTTTTCCAGATAAATAACACTGTGTTCATTTGTTTAGCTCTGCCACTTATAAGTCAGACCTTATGGAAGCTACTTAATCTCACCATCCCTCAGTTTCTTTACCTGAAAATTAAGGTAATAATAGCCTCTTCCCAAAAGGAGTATTTCAAGGACTGATGAATTATTGCACATTAGGAACTTTGATCCTGGTGTGATGAATTATTACACATTAGGAACTTTGAGCCTGGCACATGTCTAGGAGGGTGAGGCAAGAGGGTTGCAAGTTCAAGCCCAGCCTGGGCAATTTAGGAACTTAGCGAGACCCTGTCTCAAAGTAAAAAAGGGCTGGGGATATAGCTCAATGCAAAGCCCTGGGTTCAATCACCGGTACTTGGGGGTTGGGAGGGAGGTTGATCAGAATGGCCTATAGCAGTGATGTCGAACCTTTTAGAGCTTTCAGTGATACAAACAGTCCACTGCGGCATGTATGGGCTGTTACTAATACTACCATTATCATTTTATTTACATGGGTTGTTACTAATATTACCATTATCATTTTTATTTACATTTTAAGTGAGGTGAACAATGTTCATTATCAGGATACAAAGAATATTATTATTATCACTATCATTGAAGCTCCTTACTATACAAGGTGGCTTGATTAAGGCTGCTAAAGATTTAGATGTGGCAAACTCCCTAAGTCACCCTTTGGTGCAACCACTATGTTGAGCAAATTATTCAGTTTCACTAATCCTTACATTTCCCATTTGTAAGATGCCAGTTATAATAGTCACAGTGTTGTTCTAAGCATTAAATGAGACAAAATAAAGCACTTAGCATAGCGCCTAACATATAGTCACCACTTAGTAAGTAATTATTCATTATCTGATTTGTTTAGTGATAGTAAGCTACTGGCCAGAGGTCCATGGGGAAAGAGAAACACGCAGGCAGCTCTTAGTATTGCTATTTGTACCACCAAGGTGCAGTCCAAGTATCTGAAAGTTCATTCTTGAGTTGAATTAGTTACAGTTTCCAGTTGCCAGTACCCTAGGCCCTGATCTGTCCAACTAAGCATCAGGGCTTTGAAGGAGAATTGGGGTGTTTCCTACTGGCCATTGTTGAAAAACAATGCCCTTTTTTTTTTTTTTTTTAACCTGGGCATATCAGCGATTGGTTTTCTAAAAAATTTACTGAACTGGTATCTTAAGAATTATTCTCCCCTCACTACCTGCTTTGCCAGAATACTGAAATCTGAACGTTAGGTCCTTCTGGATTGCAAATGCCTGAACAAGAAATGAGAACTGGGATTTAGAGCTGCCTTGACTCAAATTATTGTTATTCAGGTAGCGCTCAAGTCCCTAAGAAATAGAGCAATGCAGTATGGGAATGTTTGAATGACCCGGCAGAACAAGAGAAATTGGACTGTGGCCTGTAAACAAGCATTAAGCATTTAGGGAGAGAGACGAGACTAGAAGCCTATGAATAGTAGAAGAGGCTAAATGTACCCATGGCAACACAAAGACCATGATCATTTCTTTTATATGCATTTGCAGCTACTTGTTTGGGAATAGGTAGTTATGAAATATTACAGAAGAAAAGAACATTAAAGAATATTTTGCCAGAAAGATATTTCAGCTGAAAAACTACCATAATCCTAACATTTGTTCATTTATCCATTTAACAAACTATAGGCAAGCATCTGGAATGCCAAGGTGAATAAAATCTGTTCTTGGTACTAAACATCTCGTAATTTAGAAAGGAAAGAAGGATGAACAAATAATACGGCAAGTGCAGGTTTGGGGTATGTGGCTAGTGGTAGAGCATTTGCCAAGTGTGCAAGAGGCTCTGGATTCAATCCCAAGCTACACACACACACACACATACACACACACAAAGAGTTCATCTCTCAAAACAGTCAAGAATGTGAACTCCTATCAGGTAGACATGAGTTTCAGGTTAACTTCGCCACATTTCTAACCTTGGGCAAGAACCTTAACATCTTTGAGGCCCAGTTTCTTCATTTGTGTCAAAGGCACTGGTGGTTGCCAACCCAGGGTTCATTCTCCTTCTCTTTACTCTCAGAACACAAATTTTGTTCAGGGCCAAGATCTGCCTACCTTTGAAAGAAAAGTAAAGTGAGAAAGAATCCCCAGACTCCCTGACAGGTAAGTGTGGCCACGTAACACAGTTGGAGCTCTCAAGATATAGACAGGGAATGGCTTTCTTTCCCAACTAATAAGACAAACCACAAAAGAGAAGTCGTTTTGCCTTTCAAACTTTGCCCTTTGCCCTTTACCCTTTCCCCGACCTACAACATGGATTGGAAAAACAACAGACACCTGACCTTCACAACAGCAAAGCTACATGGTAAGAACAGTTTTAAGAAGCCACTCTTTCCACCACACCTGTCCATCCCAAATTTACTGTTATTTGATCTTTTTGAGGCAGGGTCTCACTATGCAGTGCAGACTGGCCTTGAACTCACTTTGTAACCCAGGCTCTCCCCGAACTCGTATCAATTCTCCTGTCTCAGCCTCCTGAGTGCTGGGTTTACAGGTCTGCACCACCACACCCAGCTTAATTTACCATTACTTGAGAAAAATAAGTTTTGATATGGTTAAGCTACCGGGGACAGGCTTCAACCATGCAGCCAAACTGAATTCCTGCCCAGTACAGTCTATAAACAGAAAATAACAACAGTGTCTTCCCCGGGGTTCTTTCGAGCATTAAATAATGCATGTAAAGCACTTAGCCTAACACCTGGTGCATAGACACATTCAGTAAATGGTAATATAAACCTTACCTTACTACTATTATTACAGCTATTATCCTCACTAATATGATTATTTTATGTGAAAAAGCCAGAGGGGTATAGAGGAAGATTTTACTCCCTCCACCTGGGGCAGACAGAACAGGTTTACCCCAGAGTGTTACATTCCACCTGGGTCTTTAAAAATGGAGAAGAGTTTCCCACTATGTTTTCTAATAAAAAGTAAGCATATTTCCATGTCTTCCTTTCCTTAAAAGGAATCAAAAACTGTCTACTTGGCCACAATTAGGGGAAAACTGCTAAGGAAATAACAACCCTGGGCTTGGAGTCAATGGACCAGGACCAGAGTTAAAGTCAGTAGCTGTGATCTTCAAATAAACAGAGACTGATAGAGGTAAGTGGGCTATGTAGCTGAAAATAAGAGCCAGAGCACCTCGCCCTAGAACTCTTGTAAGGTCCATAGGCAATAGCATATCTCAGAAAAGACCTGTTCAAGTTCCAGTCAGTTTACCAAAAACTCTGCTTATCAACAGCCATCAACAAGCTGGTAGTAAAAGTTACTTTGTTTATAAGATCTTTGAGAACATGAATGCTATCTTAATCCCTTTCTTGATTTCTGTATCTTTAACACCTAGAAGAGAGCTTGCCACAACATTTGGTGACTCCAACGATTTTTTTTTTTTTTTTGGTCTTTGAGACAAGGTCTCACGATGCAGTTCAGGTCAGCCTTGAGCTCACTTTGTAGCCCAGGCTGGTCTCGAACTCACAATGATTCGCCTGCCTCAGCTCCCCGCCACCCCCAGTGCTGGGATTACAGGCGTGCACCACCACGCCCGGCAGACTCCAACAATCTAAAGATACTAAAACATGCAAGGCCAGGGCTATGACCCTCCTGTCCCCAAGAACAGATAAAGACTTAGACCAGAGTAGATGATGCCAACATGCTGTCTTAACCATGCACGCCTCTAAACAAAGAGAGTACACAGAACCCAAGTCTGTCTCCCAAATTGATCATCTCTCTAATCAGAGGAAAAAGAGTAGATATAAATAGAAGAGATGATTTTCTGCGCCAAAGCTTTCTTTTCCCAAAAAAGAAAGGCGGAGAATACCCTTGATAATTCATCGGCCAGAGGAAGTAGAAGCAACTCCTGCCATGTGGCTGGCTGATCTGAGAGCAGATAGAGTCTAATGAGAAAGTTGAGTTTAGCAAAAAATGACTGTGTGATGTTTAAGCCTCATTAGGATGACAAAACCAGCCATTCAGACACAAACCCTGCCATAGACTCTGGCCTCATATCCCTACCTCCCTCAGTGTGTTGCATTATTGAACCTGGGCTTTTCCTATAGGCCAGGACCTTGCCAACCCTTTCGCCCTTCACATAATGTGTTTGTCTGGTTTCTATTTCTGTAGTCTGATGAAGGATGATAGCAGGGTATTGAGTTGTTTTTCATTTAGTGCAGCCACCGCCCTCACCCTGCTCCCTACTCCATCCCCTACCCCGCTCTTAAGTCATGTTTTCACTGTCTGTTTTGTGCCTTGTCCTAGGTTTTTATTACTTCCTCACAGAGCCGAGGAAGGCTTTATTTTATTTTATTTTCCAGGCGTTGCTAAACATAGGCTCGCATACCCATCCTTCCTGCAAAAAATTATGGTGTTTCAATCTTGGCACTGACCTCAGAAAAAAGATGGACAAGACAGCCTTTAGATATTTGCTGAGCCCTTAACGGGTACTATCCCTTGAAAGAGGCGGTGTTTTTTGCATTTAATTCTCACAACACGCCCAAGAAGTAGATAGTATTACATCTCATTTTACAGATGAGAAAACTGAGAAGCAGACAGGTGAAACAAACAGCTCAAGGTCATACAGGATGATTGGTGACAAGCACTTCCTGTCCCCTTACTCCAAGGCCCCTGCTCCTTTCCTTGTGGCACCCTGCCTGGTGTTTCAGTCTGGGCAGGTACGAAAATTAAGTGTCTTGATCCTGCATTCTATTGTATCAAGCCATTGGGTCTTCATTCATTGTCTTTGTTGTGTCCTTGGCCCCTGCTCACGTTTCCCTCTGTCTCTCTCTCTCTAGCTGTCAGTATCCATCCCAGCTCAACCTCCACTGAGCTGTCCTTTTGGATGCTTCATCCTTGGTCCATGCAGATTGCTCTGGTCAAGGTCATGGAAAAGCCTTGGCTGATCCCACATAGTTCTGGGGCCTTGGGACTCTCCAAGTTGCTGACTTCAGCCCCTATGGTGAACACACTGAGGTGTCTCTACTCCTCGTGCACTTGTTGGAGGGGAAGCACAGCACTGCAAAGCTGTCACCTCCAGGACCTTGGGTCTCCTTCTCTCCCAGGTGTCACAGGGACCAGGAGCTCTGTGTCTCCAGCTCTGCTCCCCAGGGTCTCTTGAGAAGATGGCAGGAGGCGGGGTCCTCCAGAGCCTCATACCAGGCTCTGGCTCTGCTGTTTTCTTCTCCAGCCTCCTCCTTTCCTCTCAGCCCTTTGTTACGTTTACCCTTCTGGGTGGGGGCACCAGTGTAGTCCAGCTGATCCTGGTTCATTTGAACTTCATAGATGTCATATCCAGATTCACACAGGGTTTAGACTTTTGGAGTTAAAAAGACCAGACTTTTGAAACACAGACTTTTCGCTTAAGTCCTACATCGCAGAAGTCTATTTTGAAATTCAAAAGCTGAGTCTTGACTCTTGTTTCTCTTTGCGTTCTCACAGTAACAGTTATGTTCCTGAAATGAGGGGAGGGGAGAACAACAGAAGGTGCCTGGGGGGTTGTGGTGAGATTGTGTAAGTTAGGTTGCCCTGCACTATACCCTCCTCCTGTGAACACAGGGAGACAGTTCCCATCCTCGCGTGAAGTCAGGGTGGGAATATGTGACACTTGGACCAGTGGGATGTGGGTAAAAGTGATGGACGCCATTCCTAAGCCTGGTCCCTAAGCACATCCATGCTGATCCCATATCTCTTTCTCTTCCTTCCATTGCAGCTGTAGAGCCCATGAGTTGAAGATAGGAAGAGCACAAGAAAAAAGGCCATCCAGGTCTTCAAGTCGTCACTGGAGGGGAACATCATAAGACCCTGCTGCATAAGCTTCAGACTGTGATGTGAGCCAGAAATAAACCTTGATTTTGTTAAACCACTGAGTTCTGGTTTTTGTCGTTTTGTTTTACAGCAGCTTACATCACTTACCCTGGTTAATAATTATCTAAATATTGTTCTCCCTGAAAAATCAATATGTAGAATGTCAAAGATGGGAAGTCATAAACTGACTGCTTTGATTAAAATCTGTGATACTGAAAGTGCGTAAAGAGTTTTGAGGTTTGAAAGGGATCCATAAATAATACCTCTCTTCTCCCATCAAGTCAGGAAACAATTTAGAGATAAGCGCAGCAGACGGAGAGAGAAAATCAAAATGTTTGATTTATTACTGATAAGCATGCGGTTTAAGTGTACAGCTAAACCTACCTATGAAGCCAGATGGAAGAGCTATGAATCTCCACTCTTGAATTTGACAGACTGAACCACCACACCACTGGAACAACTGGAAAACTGTGAGCTGTCCCCAACAGAGGCAGTTCCTCTACAGCATGACAGAAAGATCACCAGATTCCCCCTCTGAACTATCAAGCAGATCTTTTTAAACTGTTTATATGCTTTAATATATGTATGTAGTACATAACGATTGCATTCATTGTGGGGAGATGATTCAAGCGGCACCGCCAAACTTTCCCTCCATGAAGTGAGGAAATATAGACCTCCTACAAGGAGAGGCAATGCATTTGTGGAACAAGGATGAGGAATAAAAACACGGGCTTCCCTTTTCCTGACATGTACCCAAAGACCAAAGGAGAAGCAGCAGATACTATTACCACCACATGTGTATCCTCTGGGCCCCCTGTGGAATCCACACATGTTCCCCCACATCCTGTACACATGTCACCTTTTTCTAACTCCAGCCCAGCCGGAGAGCATATATATGAATACCATTCAGCATTTACAAGTCAGGAAATTCTGCCATTTCTAACAACAACGTGGATGAACCTAGAGAACATTATGCTAAGTGAAATAAGCCAGGCAGAGAAAGGCAAATATTTTGCACACTCTCACTAACATATGGAATCTACGTAAGTCTCATTCATGGAAGCTGAGTGGAATGGTGGTTGCTAGGTGCTAAAAGAGGGAGAAGGGTGTGGGAGATCGTTGGCCAAAGGGTTCAAAGTTTCAGTTAGAAAGGAAGATTGAATTCTGGAAATCCACTGCACAGCATGGTAATTGTCATTAGTAATACTCTATTATATACTTAGAAATTACTAATTCTCCCCCCTCACACACACACACACCCGATGCTGTGTAGGTCAGGGGATGAATATGTTAACAATATGTTAATAATTCCACAATTTATATATTTATCAAAACATTACATGGTACATCATAAGTTTATACAAGTTTTACTCACTCATTAAATTTTTTTCTTTTTTTTTTTTTTTTGTACAGGGAATCAAACTCAGGACTCTGTGCTTGCCAGGCAGGCTCTTGTGCCATTAAGCTACATCCCCGGCCCTTAAATTATTTTTCTTTTCTCTCTCTCTCTCTTTTTTTTTTTTTTTTTTTTTTTTTTTTTGTCTTTTTTGAGACAGGGTCTCACTATGCAGTTTAGGCTGGCCTTGAGCTCACTTTGTAGCCCAGGCTGATCTCGAACTCACAGCAATCCTCCTGCCTAAGCCTCCCTAGTGCTGGGATTACAGGCGTGTGCCACCACACCCAACTCTCTCTTTTTTTTTGAGAAGATGTCTTACTCTAGTCCAGCCTGGCCTTGAACTCACTATGTGGCCCAGGCTGGACTCAAACTCACAATGATCCTTCTGCGTCAGCCTCCTAAATGTTGGGATTGCATTAAAATTTTTTTAAACTATTTTGTAATACCTTAGTGTCTTGGTTACTTTTCTCTCGTGGCTGAGACAAAATACCTGACAACCAGAATTAAGGAAGGAAAGGTTTATTTAGTCACAAATTTTGGAGGTTTCAGTGCATACTCTGCTGGCTCCACAGCAGGGTGGCACACGGCAGAGGGCAACCGTTCATGGTGGTAGAAGATAAAAAAACAAGAAGAGCGAAATGGAGGAGTGGCAGGAAGCAGCCTCTTTCCCTCCCTTATATTATATGCAAACTACTCACCCTAGGGTGGGTGTAGCTCATGTGATGGCAACTTTCCCTAGTATTGGATTGTACTCACACCCGTAATCCTAGTATTGGATCATGGATCAATCATAAACTCTAAAAGCCTGCCCCATGACTGCACGAGCTCTGGGGGGACACCCAGACGCAAACCACAACACATAGGAAATTCTTCTTCCTACTCAGCCTTACAACACAAAAGAGAACATGTGTGTAGAAAATTACTCTTAAAACAATGACTAACATTTGTGCGCAAAACACTTTCACATACAGAACTATTAAATCCTAAAATAACCACATGGGGCTGGGGTTATGGTTTAAATATGACATGTCTCTCACAGACTCGTACTGAGGCTTGATCCCCAATGTGGTGTTGCTGAGAGGTAAGCCCAAAAGAAGTGACTGGACAACAAGAGCACTAACCTCATCCATGAATTAATCTATTGAATAGTTTATAGCTGAACGGGCTATTAGAAGGAGAAGATGTGTTGGGGGAAACACACACTGTGGTATTTGAACAGTTCTTTGAAGCATATTTCTTATCCTCAAACCCTTTCTCTCTCTGGATCTTTCTCTTTTTCTTTGCTTCCTGAATTCCATGAGAAGAGCAGCTTTCTCTGCCATCCCCTTCTACCATAACGTTTCTGCCTTGAAGCTAGCCAACCATGGACTGAAACCTCTGAAACTGTGAGCTCTATATATCTTTTCTCCTTTAAGCTATTTATTTTGGTCACAGTCACATAAAGCTAATACAGCTGATATCATTACTAGCCCAATTTCTGGACAAGGAAACTGAGGCTTGGAGAGGCATCTCCTCCTAACATTGATGTCTCTGGCCATCGAGGTTCTATCATTCAGTGCTGGCTGTCTGGGTACTCATGCTTGACCTTGTAGGCCCCTCAGCTGATATCAGCCAGCTCTGCCTTAGATAACTTGGTGTCTCTCTTTCACACCAGGCTATAATTTAGGAATTCTCAAGTGCCTATTTCTGTCCATCATCATGTGTCATACACAGTTCATTCACAATAAACAAATACTGAGTGTCTCCTAATGGAGAGTATGACCCTGAAGAAGGCAGAGGAGATCCCTCCTCACGCAGCGCTTACGTTCTAGTGATAAAAGAGGGAAAATGGGCAAAAAGAGGTGAGATAGTATAAGTGCTAATCAGAAAATAAAAAAGGGGGTGATGGGATTAATAGAGAGTGGGTGCTTATTTGAGTTGTTTTGTTTCTGAGACAGGGTCTTGCTAGTTCAGGCTAGCTTTTTTTTTTTTTTTTTTTGGTCTTTTTGAAACCGGGTCTCACTATGCAGTCCAGGCTGGCCTTGAGCTCACTTTGTAGCCCAGGCTGGTGTCGAACTAGCGATGATCCTCCTGCCTCAGCCTCCCAAGTGCTGGGATTACAGGCGTGTGCCACCACGCAAGGCCCAGGCTAGTTTTTGAATTCACTATGTAGCCCAGGCTGGCCTCAGACTTCTGGTGATCCTCCTACCTCAGCCTCTTGAATGCTGGGATTATAGGTGTGTGCCCCCATGCCTGGCTTTGGTGCCTATTTGGGTGGGAAGATCAGAGAAGGTTTCTTCTATGAGGGGTCACTTCTAAACTCAAAGCAGCATAACAAGAACATGTTATCCATGGAAAGAAATGGAGAACAGCAGGTGGAAAGCCCACAGGGCTACTGGCTAGAGGAGATAAAACTAGGAGAGTGTTAATAATAAAACACTTGCCTGAAGGCAGTATACATTTCTTAGAGGTAGGCCACAACTTCAGTTCTGTGCTTTGAAGAGTCAGTGTAGACAGTGTAGAATCTCACTTTGATCTCCCCTAAAACCCTACATACTTCACCCCTTACTGTACTTCAGCTGCTCAGAATCTGAAATCTGCCACCACTACTCCCCTAGACTTGAGGGAATAATCTCTTCAGGACTCTACTACAGCACCATAGTGTACCCCACAGGCATTGTGCTGAAATTTGATGATTCTACCTTAACTTTTTGCCTCCTTGCAAGATCGAAGCTCTATGGGGGCTGGAATCTCTCTCCCTCATAACCCCTCGCTCCTTCCTTTAGGAAGGTGCTGGACACACAAGCAGATGTGTTGAGAAATGCAGAGTGATGGGCTCCTAGCTCACCCATTTGACACTTAGCTGCTCCCTGAAGTCTTTCTGGATATCTACTTATACTTCCTTAGCACTTGGCAATGGTCCAGTGAAGTATTAAATACGTCATTATTTATTATCATGTCAATCTTTTCCTCTAGCTCTACGTTAAGGGTAGCTGTTGTGCTTTATATGTAGCTATTCCCCAGAAGCCTCGTGTGATCATAGGCAGCGTTTGGGGAGGTGACTGGATCACTGTGATATATCCATTGGTGGAGGGTTCACTGATGGGTTTGTAGCCAAAACTGCTGTTAGAGGGGGCCTGGCCAGAAGGAGTGGGTCACTGGGAGCATGACCTGGAAGGATGTATGTCTTTCCCTGGTTCTTCCCTTCATTCTCTGGATTCTGGCCATCATGACATGAGCAGCTTTCATCCACCTCACACTTCTGCTATGCCTCCTTGCCTTGGACCTGGTTGATTATGAACTAAAACCATGTACCTCCTTTAAACTGCAGGTGATGCAATCTCTCACTTGAAATTATACTACAAAGCTACTGTGATAAAAACACCAAGGTACTGGCAAAAAAAACAGACCTGGAGATCAATGGGACCGATTAGAAGATGCAGAAAGATCTCCAGACATACTCAGCCACCTTATCTTCTAGAAAGGAGCCAAACACCTACACTGGAAGAAAGATAGCCTCTTTAATAAATGGGCCTGGAAAAACTGGCTTTTCACATGCCAAAGATTAAAACTAGACTCATATTTTTCACCATGTAATCAACTAAAATCAAAATGGGTCAAAATCTAAATATAAAGACAGAAAAATCAAATTTGCTGGAAGAGAGACTAG